TAAAGCAATCTTTAGAGTTTTCCTTAAAAAATAAAAATAAAAAATTTAAAAACCCTCCAAAAGCCCCAAACCCTACGTAGCTGTTAAATACCCTAAACTTGCAAGTACTTGCAGTTATAACACAACACTCAGATCAGACTTTCTCAGCAGTTCTGCTCCCAGGAGTCTTTTCAGAGTTGTTCAGGCATCTGCTTACCTGTTACGAAGCTGATGGTGGAGCTGTCACAGCAGCTCAGCTCTGGGTCCCCCCAAGTCACCATGGTGACCCGGAAATTGTAATACCAAGCAGGCAGTAGGTTGGCTATTCTCTGTAAAGTGAAGATAAACAGCAGCTCAGGAGAAAATCCACCACCAAGAGGCATGACTTATAAAAGTATTTGTAAATCTAGTGCCCACACTTTGTTCCCATTCCTTACTCCCAGGGGAAACCTCTGAAATTTGGATTTTGAATTTGTTAAAAAATCTGTGCAGTGGGAGTGAACACGCTTGCGACAGCTCTGCTCCTTATCCACACGCATGTGGTTTCCAGATCCTACCCACCATGGGAAACTCTCCTCGATTTCCAGAGCAGCAAGAACAATTGCCACAGAGCGATCTTCCATCATACAATTTTTACTTGATAAAGACAGAGTATTTAACTGGAAAATGTAGGCTTCTCTATTTTGATTAAATAAGGTTTGAGGATAAATTAGAAACAATGTTTTTGACTCATATTTTGTCACTTCAGAAGACTTGCTTTTTCCAATTTCCAAAGTGTATTTCACTTTGTGTTATCATTTATTATAAATGAAATATGAATGAAACATAAATGACTTAAGACATAAATTAAATAAATACAAATGAGATATAAATGAAGTATAAAATGCAATTAATTTTATTAAATATAATATTATTTTATTACATGCAATAAATTTGTTATATTACCATGTGCAATATTTAAGTTAAAATTCAAATACTTCTACTGACAGCAGAAAATACTCCAAATATTTAATTTTACATTCAAAATGAAAAGCCTCATGATATTTTTAAAATTCAAAATAAAAGCAAATTGGAAACAATGAAAATTTTCAGAAAATTAGAAATTGCTATTTTTACAGATTTTTTTTTTCCCTAGATACTATGAGGCAATCCAAATATAGCATTTGTATTCTCTTTATACTTTAAAAAAAAAAAAAAAGTTGCATCCAATTAAAATCAAATCTTTGAAGATGCTTGGACTTCTTACGACATGTCCCTGGTCTAGTAATGAAAATACCAACACACCTTTTACAAAGTTATAATAAAGACACAAAGTGCAAAATGAAGAAAGCAACTAAACAGAGTGAGGGGCCAAATTAAATTCCAAAGGTTGTCACTAGATGAGAATGCTTCAGGAAACAATTTTTGATCTAAGCTGTCAGATAGCTGGATTTTTGGTTCCCCTGCCTTATCACTGGTATTGTATTCCACTGCTCTAGAACACACCACTCGGAGACATCAGTAGATCACAGGGAAATTTGTGGGACATGGTGGGATTTTGAAGGACTGCCAGAGAACCCAAATAGAAGTTTGCCAATATCTATCTGCATGTTAAATGCCATAAAAGAAGAACAGGGAGACATTTGTTTTCTAATTCAGGCTTGCTCTTTAAAATCATGCTTTAAGAAATGCTTGCATCGGTTGCAATGTAACACTGTTGCATTTCAGACTGAAAGTCAGACAAAGGAATTCCGACCTGGCTTCCCTGAACAGGATTTGCAACAGTAAAGGACAATATAATCTCGTTTCTAATGAAGCACATTAACTCTGGAAGATGGCCTAACTTCTAAGATGACTCGCATCACTCAGGTATTAATCTAAATCTGCTGAGTCATGATTACAAGATATTAATTGCTCATTTGGTAAATTATTTTTGTTTTTAATTTCCCCAGAGATTTATGTGCTAGATTTACAGTTGTGTATGCAATTACAGTTAAGCTGCTGTAGCCAGTATGACTCCACAAATGATATTATGCAAATCAATTATGATAAATCACCGTGGCTCTCACAAGCTGCAGAGTTATTGCTATCCTTTCTGCATACTCATAACTTCTGAACAACTCATTTCGGCTAAAATTGCTTGCTGCCTTGCGCTACAGCAAAGTCTGAATAAGATCTGTTCACCTTCTCCTGAAAGTAGTGGAAAATCAGAGGAAAATTTCACTTTATTTTTGCAAAGATGGATGTGTTCTTCTAGACACCAGTCTCCACCTAGTTGAAATCCTAGAATATGTCTGTAGCTTCAGAAAGATGAAGGCTATTTTCACAACAGCATCTCTGCAGCTAAGCCTTCCAGATGGCATACTGCAAGACTAGCCCACAAGTCTCAAATCTATATTAACTATAATAATTATTTGGATAAGGCTTCAGACTACTCCCCCCCGAGAAGATGATGGAATTTTTAAGGCCCTGACTGACAAACTGACCCAAAACCTGAAGCTGCCTCTGGACTTGCTGAACAATTGTCAACAAAAAAAAGAGACTCATCTCTTATCTCATTTCTCTGCTTATAATTTAGCAAGGTTCAGCTGGCATTCCTTCACTTGAGAACAGAAAATGCTTCTAGCATCCTGGCCATTTTCTCTGCTTTGCCTGGAGAAGTGGGCCAGGCTTAAAGGCATATATACATGTGCACGGGGGAAACGGTGGGCAAAGAAATGTCACAAGGTGCCAGGGACACACAGGCATGGGAAAGCAGTAGTCAGTATTGGTCACTTTACCACAGAGGCAGTTAAGGAGACAGTTGCTGCTATTTCATAGTAGGTTGTCCACTCAGAGGTCATTGTTGATGGGTTGAAGTAAAACATTTCTACAACATATTTCCTGAACACCCCAAGGAAAGGTCTGTTCCAACTCAAAACCACAGCAGTAGGTCCCAAAGGGTAAAGTGTCAGATCCTTTATTCCAGTGGGCACTATAAACCAGAAATTGCGGTTAGTAATGTGTGTGTTATCAGTTACCTTCATTTTAAAACAACGCATTTCCTTAAACAAGGCCTCCCTATTTCTGGTTTGTTCCTGACTTTAATTCCCAAGAATTTCCTCGTCACATACAGTCAAATACCATTTTTTTCAGCATTTGTCCTCCAGTTTGTTACACCTGTTTTTCAGAAATGACTACAGGCTACTTGGTGCTGGCTGCTTAGCCAAAAGTATCAAAAGCCATAACACTTTGGAAGATGAAGACTGTGAGAAAAAACTCTTATGTCTAGCTCTCCTTCCCTGGGGAACCTACAGGTGCTGTCACGCATTGCTATTCTTGCCTCATAGATGATAACACTGAGAAAGAGTCAAGCGATTACAAAAATGTCATATAAAGGTCAACTTCTACAACCCTTACTTGTCTGGAAAGCAATTATTCTTCATGACTCAACTGAGGCTCCTTCACTAAACATTTTGCTAACATTTGCAAGGGTTGCAGAGCCCCAGCTATTGCACACCGGGTCAGAGCCAAGACCAGCACCCAGATTACTTCAGCTCATGTTAGCACACAGTTGCCTTTCCCTTCATAAATCACTTACCACATCTTTGCTTTGCTTTCTCTAAAGTGTTAATACTTGCCCAGTGAAAGTGAGGCTTAGGGTCAGCATAGAGAGAATTGAATACTTTTAAAAATGTATTTTATCTTATTTCAGTTTCATTTACCATTAACCAGAACCGATAATTTCATGGAACAGTTTGTTTTGCAGTGCTAAAATTTTAATATCAAATTCTATATCCTGTTATGAAATGCTCTTTTACTGCATAAAAACATCCTCTTTATAATAAAAATCCCATGAGGTGTTTTGTTTAGAAACTGATGATGATTTTGAGTTTAGTAAGAACCTTTTATGGTTGCAAGGGAATAGAGAAAAGTAGAGAAAATTAAGGAACTTATTTACTTTGAGAATATATGTTTTTACTGTCTCAAGTGAATATAGAATTTTGCAGCTTTCTGAAATAACTATAGCGAGAAAAAAATCAAAAACATTTTAAAAAATTGTCCAATGACAGAGATTTTAATAATACAGTACATACATTTTTTTACTTGATATTTTTTCATTTACTGAAATATACCATACTCTCTTTTTAAACGTTTATTCAGACCCAATTTATGAAAACAGATAAGCAGATTGCCTAGAATAAAAAGGCTCTCACAATATTACCTAGTCTACATACTTCCTTTCACTTAAGGAATCAGGTTTTTTGTTTGTTTTTGTTTGTTTCTTTTTTCTTTTTCACTTTCTTGCCTACATCACAGAAAGGAAGCAGAGTGGAAAATACTGATGATCTCTATCTTTGAGCCACCTGCTCTTCCAAAAGGCAGATTACTTGTCAGAAGGAGAAGCTGGGTGACTCGGGTTAAATATTTCCCTGAATCTCTTCCTCTTTACCCTTTCTCTTCCTAATTCCATTTGTTAAAGTGGTAGCCTTAACAAAATAAACGATACTGAAACTAAAAGGTACTGAATTCCATCCTAACTGACTCTTAGGAGCCTGAATGGGGGCGTGGGGGCAGCAGCTCTTCCTGCTGGCCATAAAGCCACATTCTTGAAAATGTTACTTTTGGTCTCAGAGGGTGGTTCTTACCTTCAAATCTTAAGGAAGAGCACATCAGAATTTATTGTTAAACTCAAGAAAATCAAGGCATACACAAAGCAAGTTGGTGATGGTCATGTAGTACTGTAGGAGGTAAGTCGAGTCTCCCAACTCTTAGCACTGTGACCTTCAGCCTGGGCCACATTACATCCTTCGTAAAAGCACATTTTAACAAATGTCTTAAGAGCAGTCCCACACGCTGCCTGAGCCAGTGTGAACAAATCACCTCTAGGAAGTGCCCACACCCCTCCATGCACCACAGACAACCTGCAGCTCAAGTTGGCTATGCCTAAGTGAGGTGATTCCCACCCTAAATGACATAGACCACAAGGACTCCTAGAGACACACATATGTTCAGGTGTCCAAGGGTAAAGACCATTCTTTCCTCCAGACACTCCATTATTGAATCCTGGCCACAACTGCTCTCTAGTTAGGTTTGGAAATAACTTAATATTTAAATGTGAAATATGTATCTATACTGAAGGAGTGTTTTCCCCACCTCAGTAATGGGCTAGAAAACACAAGAAAAACATTCCCCGTACACGTTCATTACATTTGAAATAACCAACGTGATAATCTTGTACTCCTTCATGGGCTCTAGGACTTAATGAATATACTACATATATTTAAAACCAAACCAAATCAAAGACATTTCAAGCAGTATATGTAGGGGTTACCAATGGAAAATGTAACAGGATCAGAAGGCGGTCCAACCAACGGTCCTTTCCGTAAGTAAACCACAACTTGGTACTGGGCACCAGGAACGAGATTTTCAATGAGGCTGCTGCTTGAATTCACCTAATAGGAGGGGATCACATCAGATATGAAGCATTTACTTGGTTAATTAAAAGAATATTGAGATAGTACTTGAACTGCTCCACTTAGAAAAGGCATATAAATATCAGCACCAGCAGCTAAAACTCCATTTGGTAAACCCAAAATGGCAAAACTGTGAAAATGGTCAAGATTGACTTGACAAATGATCTGACTCAGAAAATCACACTTGCCTTGTGGTGTAAGGTCAGCTGTCACACTGCAGACCAACTCTTTCCTGCTGTCAAAGTTTATTGCAATATTCTGGCTATATTGTTCACATTCAGGTGATATTATTCAGGCTGGAGTATGTAGACGGTGTGTTTTCAATGAAAGCCTGAGGCTTTTCATCGGCTGTCTGATTCATCTGCAGCTATGTGAGATGAAGGCAGGGTTATGGGAAACCTGTCTCCTGAATGTATGTGTTAAGTGACCGCATGGCGAAGTCAGAGGAATTACTCTTGTATACCTCACCTGCATAGTTCTACAAAACCTAAGGGACATGGTGATTTGTCTTTTCGGTTTGAAACATCACAATTAAAATTTCTGCTGTGCCACACAAGGTTTTGGTCAGAGGTGGAGGAAGACCAAGTGATTCCGAGTCTGATCACAGAATCACAGAATGTCAGGGTTTGGAAGGGACCTCAAAAAACCCCCAAAAAACGTCCAGCCCCCCTGCCAGAGCAGGATCACATACAGTAGGTCACACAGGAACGTGTCCAGACGTGTTCTGAATGACTCCAAAGAAGGAGACTCCACAACCTCCCTGGGCAGCCTGTGCCAGGGCTCTGTCACTCTCACAGGGAAAAAGTTTTCCCTAATATTTTTGTGGAACCTCCTGTGTTCCAGCTTGTACCCATTGCCCCTTGTCTTGTCATTGGACATCACTGAGAAGAGCCTGGCTC